TAGAGGAGATGGACATCTGCCGGGGATGTCTACGCAGCCCTATTTATGAATGACCGTGTTCACCTCTTTGCGGAGGAGGGAGCCAGACGAGGTGCCTTAGACAAATTCTGAGGTCCTTTCAGTCGCAGGTGTAAAAGACAGGTGGGGAAATAAAGAAACAGAGAACATTTCCCAACCCCTCGCCCCGCCGCACCACAGGGATTGCTCGTATGAGCTCGCTCCTACCAAAAGCCTGGAATATATACTCGCTTTTGGAAAATCCGAATTGCAGCCGCAATGAATGAAGAACAGAACTGATCAATCTATAATTGTTGCGCTACAAGGTGGGTATATTTAATATCAGCCAGACTCGATTCTCTGAGCATGATCAGCTTTATGAAGTGAGTGAAGGCTACGACTTCTCCTACGATGGCCGCCCAAAGGCAGAGCGACGTAAAATTAGCATCACCCTTATCATTTGAAACGACGTCTTGAAGCGTCTGTCTGCTGCAGGGTGTCAACAAACTTTACAAAGCAACGCTCTGCAAGCGTAAGAAATCTTCTAGACTAGTATATCAGTCAACTACCCTGACAGCAATGTCATTGCGCTGCGCAAGGGCTAAATTTTCCTGCTGGGTCTAGCAGACTAGACTAATCAAGTGGTCCGCCTTTCGTCGCCTGACTGGCTGAGTTTACAACAAGTTGTAGTCTTGGTCGAAATTGCCAGTGAGATTTGTATAATTTGTGAAGGCTTTTTTAAAAAATTCATTCGACTCTGGAACCCTTACTGTCGATTGGAAACTGGCGCATTCTGCTGCGGTAGAGGGTAAAGATTAAGCAGCGAGGAATATATCTGAACGATTTTACTATATATTTGAACCGTAACAAAGCTATGTTTACATGTGAAAGGGAAAGCTTGAGAGTAATTCTGTGGCACACCGACGGGAATAGATTGTAGATCAGCTTACATTTACTGGGTGGGTGGTAAAACCGTTGGTTTCAGCGGTTCACCGTCGATAAATCTACAATACTCTTTCGGCATTTAAACAATACTCTGTCTAGACAAGCCCCCCAACTTTATCAACTGTATGCAGGACGTGTAAATCAGAACTGACCTTGGTGTGTGGACGCCGAATTGCTGAACCTAGTTCTCTTAGTGCTCGGGAGTTTTTAAGAGCACAGTGCCGTGATGTACACATCAATAGAGTGTGTTTGGATTTTGATGAAGATATATTCCTCGAGGTTTTCGGAAACTTCGTAAGGACGCACCTGCACTATGCCATACATACCTGGGGATCATGGACAGCACAAGATCAGAATATACTCGAAATAGTTCAAGGAAGAGCCTCCAAAATGGTTAAGAATTAAAACGCCTGCCCAAATGCGATCTGCTTAGAAAACGTAATCCCGTTCCTTTCAGTTTTAGACAACTTCACGGGGATCTCCTCCAAGTGATACCCGTTGTGAAGGGATTCTTTATACCGCAAACGTCCAGAAGGCACTACGAAAACAAACTTATAACTGAGGTCAGTATTTACAATATGCACTTTGGTAGCTTAAGCGACGACCAGGTATATAGCAAAACTAAGCAATAGGGTATGCAGACTATTTCTAATCCACCGATAGATTGTACTTTTAGAACAGTATTCAGCAAGATTCAGTGAATACTCAAATTCGAAAGACTGCAGAAGGAAAAATAACTGCTTCGCAAACATATATGGAGAGAAGAGTACGTCGATACTACAGTAGATCGTATATCTGATGCAATAAGAAGATAAGCATTTAAGTGGGGATTTAGCACAGATTTTAGGTGGTTTATTTTTTTCATTGGGCTGTCCTTAGGCGGATACTGATGTCTACTAGAAATGATTTCCGTTCAGATCAGTATATTTAGGGAAAATAGGGGTGTAATTGGGCCAAATCTAAAATTTTTTGATATCCACGGAATTTTCTACAGCAGTAAACGCTGCGTTAAACAGGTAGAACGAAATCGGCATTTAGGGAAAAACGAATAAAAACACTGAAATTCGTAAAGCGGTAAGCCCAATTTCAGGAAAAATTTGAACGTCGTCGCATCCGGAGTCTCGAAATAATTACAAAGTGATGTGACGAAAAGAAATTTTTATCAATATACACAAGATTGTATGTTTACAATTGGGCCTTCCATATATATTTTAATTTATTTATCACTCATCGGCATGCCCACGTGTAAGCTTATTAACTATCTTACTCCTGTGACGTCCATATCGACACAATCAAGTGAAAATATACTTGAGTTAGTCCAGCGTATCGTCAGGAGGATAGAAATAAAGAAAAAAAACTGGTAATTTAAGTCACTCAAGTCACTTTAAGTCACTTTATTAAGGGAAGAAGGCTTTCGCCCTTGAGCTCCCTATTCATAACTCAAATATCGCAAAATAGGTCCACCGTAACAATAGTGCGGTGAGGATTCGTCCTGGGGCCCCCGGATATGCGTCATTTATTATTACCAC